AATAAAAATTTCATTCGTATTTTTTTACAAATAAAATAAGTGAACATTATAAAATAAAAATGGTTATAAAAAAAATAACGCAACCTAAAAAATAATCTCTTTTGCAAAATGAATTTCATCAACCATAATGACCTTGCATCATTCACGAGATAGTGCACACCTCGCCAATTCCGAGAAACATTATATTTCTCTATAGCATAGGGCCAAGAAACCGCCGTCGCCGCCTATTCTTATAATCTTAAATTTTTTGTCGGGGGAAGCGACTTAGATCGCACTGAATAATCAACAAAAATCAAACAAAAATCGAGAGTCTTTACCTAAAACATCTTAGCCCTACAGACTGGTTAATAGCCTGTTAAAGATAATATTAATTATTGGAAATGACTAATGATGCCGATTTGCGTCCTAATCTACCCCCAAAATAATGTATCAAGCCTAGTCAAATCAAAGCAAAAGACCGTTTAACCGGGCCCTTTGTCATTTTGAATCGAATAGTAATACATGTCCTCACGAAAAACAATTTCATGTATCGTTCACCCCGAATTTTATGACGTGATCGATCAATTACATTAACAACGTGATATGCTTATCATCCTATATGCACTTAAAATTTTCAAAACGACTTACTTTTAATTGCTTGTTGTATTGCCTACAACAAGCGGCTATATTGTCGATGCATTTCAAAGTGTTCTTCATACATGAATTGAAACCATAAATTCAAGAGAATTATGGCATGGTATGGTGGAAAAGAAGAAGAAAATCACAAATATGAATTTGTCATGTCATTTTTCAGCCTTCCTCCGGTTTTTCTTAAAGACCCAACAAAATGTATGAGACTGTTAATTTTGAAGAGTTGCGATTTTGTATGTTTAATTTGAAATGTTACATCATCTCAATGGTTCATATTTAGAAATTTTTTTACTCATCACACATTTTAGAACAAAGTTCATCTAAAAATTGCACCTTTTGGAACAAAATTATTCTCATATGCATTTTGCACTTTTTTCCATTCAACATAACTGTCAACTGGGTCAACTTGACCAACACATTGTTTCTCTTTCCTTCGTTTTCTCCTCCTCCCAAATAAAATGGATACAAGTGTAGAATTTGTGAAATACAAAAACCATTCACAATAAATATTCTTCGTAAATATATATTTAATGTGCAACAATTACCGCATAGTATAACTGTTATTAGGGGTGTCAATCAAACCCGCGCCGGCCCGGCCCGACCCGCGCCGGCCCGGTCCGACCCTAAAATTTGGGATATTTTGGGGTCGGGCCTTAATTTTATTCAAATATGGCCCTAAAATTTGGGGTTTCATTAGGGTCGGGGTATTTTAGGGTCGGCCCATTGACACTCTGGGCCGACCCATCTCCCTCTCTCAGTCTCTCTTCCCTTCTCTCTCCCCTCTCTGGCGCTATGCCGCCGCTCCTCCCCCCTCGCCGTCCCCTGCCGCCGGTCCCCCGGCAAGCCCCTCCGCCTCTCCACCGCCGCCATCCGCGCCGCCATCTCCGTGGGCGACAGGCTCCCCGACGCCACCCTCTCCTACTTCGACCCCGCCGGCGAGCTCCGGACCACCACCGTCTCCGCCTCACCGCCGGAAGAAGTCGATCCTCTTCGCCGTCCCGGGGGCCTTCACCCCGACTCGCTCGCGAAGCACCTACCGGGGTTCGTGGAGAAGGGGGGAGTGAAGGCCAAGGGCGTGGGCAACATCGCGGCATCTCCGTGAGCGACGCCTTCGTGATGCGGGCGTGGAAGGAGAACCTAGGCATCGGCGACGACGTCATGCTGGCGTCGAACGGGAAGGGGACTTCACGAGGGCGATCGGGTGCGAGCTCGACCTGAGCGACCCATGCCGGTGGGGCTCGGGTGCTTGTCGCGGTGGTACGCGCTGCTCGCGGAGGATGGCGTCGTGAAGGTGCTCAACCTGGAGGAAGGCGGGGCCTTCACCTTCAGTGGTGCCGAGGATATGCTCAAAGTCTTGTAGATGCTTTCAAGTTTCCATTTTTTTTCTTTTCTTTTTGGGGCTTTGAACTTGGCTGTCGTTGGCTGGTGTTGAGGGGTGAGGTTCTTGTTGAGTTTTGAGCTTGATAAAGTTTTCGTTCCTGACTTGTGCCTAATAAATTGAGATGGAGTTGGAATTGCGGTTTGATGCAGACACAATGAACAGGGATTTTGCTTCTGGGATTCCAAGATGTTGCCTTTCTTTTGTATTGATTTCGTGAGGATGATGTGAGGATGATGATGTTGTTCCTGAGTTCAGCAGTATAAGAGTCAACGGGTGTTCTGGTGCTGGGAATCGCATTGCGAATTGCGATTCATAGTCGCAAAAAAAAAAAAAAAAAAAAAAAAAAACCCGAAGCCCGGCCCGACCCGACCCGACCCGACCCAGCCCGGCCCCGGGCCTTGGGGTGTACGGTGAACAGGGTCCTGGGTGGGTCTGGGCAGGTCAAGTATGACCCTGTAGGTTTCAGGTCGGGTCGGGTATCAAGAAAGCCCGACCCGACCCGACCCATTGACACCCCTAACTGTTATATGAAGTATCTCTTGTCCTCAACGACACTAATCTTTAAAGATGCGGTGCTCATTTTTCCAAGTACTGTTTTTTAGTAACCATATAAGTCTTGTTAACGAGACCTCCGATCCCATCCGATCCCAAAGCGCTCCTTAAAATGATAAAGAACGTGTTAATTTTCAAAATACCGATCGCACATAACATTAGCAAAACGCCGCATTGACAAACTGCAATTTTCCTTCATTGAGTTAATCGATAGTGCTCACGGAGCACTCCTTAACAGAACCCTAATTACAACAAGCGGGCCTACAGATTTAATGATTCGAGTCGTACTAGATCTACCGATCATGTATTGAAGGTGCGAAAATCTCTCCTCGTTTCACGACACATAACTCTCCAATTTAAGATTCAAGACCTTCAACAACTAAAGAGGGTCAAATGTAACTAATTCGCCAACAACTCTTCTGATTTGCCGGACTTAGAACGGCATATCCCATCCCCACACCTTTCTAAAAATAATAACAAAGGGCCCCCGTCCATGAATAGTTGAAATCATCATTGCCACCATAAGATAGAATATTTTTTTATTTTTATTTTTAGTACTTCATGCATATGAGTATGGAGACTCATGTCGCATTCTGTAACTCCATATATCGGTTAAGTGGGGGACCTTTAGTCTCTGTGGATGAATATGAAGCAGCCGGTTAAGTCCAAACCTTTAGTCTGTGCAGGTGGCCCTGATGTAAAGCATTTTGTATGCATTTGGCAGGATTCAAACGAGTCTCGTCCTCCGACAAAAAAGAAAAAAATGAGTGACATCCAATTCTAAAGCTGGAAATCCCTTACACCCAAATCAATTGTGCCAATGTACAATCCCGGGTCATCTCTCATATTTTAGTTCACTTTTTACACAATGTAGAATCTTGAACTATACGAGTTTTAAATGGAGAAATTGCTTTCTATCAATGACCTTTGTACCATGATCGCACTTACGCATAGCAGAAAATGATCTCACTTATGCTCCTCATTTGATATTTTATATGACAATCGAATCTGTCCTTCGATTATACTATTAAAAAAACTAAGATGTTGTTTAATATTAAAAATGATCTCATTTATGTTTCGTGAAAAATTGAATGTTTTATTATAGAATATTTAAATATTAAATCACGCCTTCATCTAACAGATTAAATTTCTAGAACAGTTGACAGTGGTACCACAAAATCTCATATAGTATCAAAGTAGGAGATCTTGAATTCAAATCTTTCAAAACCCTATTTGTCTCCCCAATTAAATATATCGACACTTAGTCCAATTTGACCATTACTAAGCATGAGGGGAAGTGATAGATACTTAAATATTAACACTGCATTCATTAAACAGCTCAAGTTTTTAGAATAGTTGGTAGTGATCCCACAAAGTCTCACAATTAATTTTTTTTTTTTCATAAAACTGATTATTTATATTACTTATAAAAATAAATAAATTTGTGTTCGTTGCTACCGTGTCAATAGTAAAAGGTTTATTATGTAAAATTTATGATCAATTACGTATCTAAGGATGGCCTTAGCAGTATTTGCCCCTAATCAACTGGGTGATCAAAGAGAATGAAATAAAATGGGAGCTTAGTGTTTTTTTAGCAAACATGTACTATTCTTTGCGATTCATTTATGGAAATTAGCATAAACACACATCGCTTTTTGATTCAATGACCATTTACATACCTTTATTATCGCAAAATACCATTTTCATACCTCTGAACAAAAGCCCACGTCGAGAAAAACAAGTTGCCCATCCTCGCAAACTCATTTAGCATCTTACTTAAGGTTTTGGTGGTTTGGTTTTGAGTTGGTCTTGAGTGTTTTAGGTGGGTGTGAGAATTTGTGCTATAGGATGGATAGTTTTGGAAAGAAAATGACATTTTCGAGACACATGTATAATTGGTGAGAAGATAAAGTAATATCAAAAGGTAAAATTCAGATATGTATTTGATATTTTAAAAAATAGAGATATGTGAATGATCATTGGATGAAAGACGAGATATGCCTTGATTTATATCACTTAGATGCCTTTCTGACTATGGCATTGCCATCTGCCACCATCTCATCTCATCTCATCCTGCAACACAAGGGAGAGAGTTATTAAAGAGAAGAGAGGCAGATGGAGTTTTAAATGAAGTGAGGTCCATTTTCTCTTCTGGAGAAGCAAAGCCAGAGCACACAGACCAAGCCATGGAGTTTTCACTTCCCCACCCTACCAGAGAAATCCCTCTGTCTCGGTAATTGAAAGGACAGACTGTGTGCTGTGATGTGTGTGTGTCTGTGTGTGTAAGGTCCATCATTATTACTGTTTCTCCTACATACATGAGTCCTTGTCAATCTCTGACTCTACACAACTCATAAAAACTTCCCTTAAAAATTCCTGCTCTCTTCCTCTGTGATGATTACTCTGTATCTCAGTCTCTCTGCAAAGCTAAAACCAGTCACAAAGCCCTGCTTGATGATTCATGACGCGGAAACAGAGGATCGCAGGCCATAAGTACACTTCAAGATAAAGGACAAGATTCATAGCAAGATACCCCCCTCACTGTACACCAAGACAAAAGGACTTTAATCCAACATTTTTGACACATTAAACCCCCCTTTAAAACCACAGTTAAAGAAAATAAATAAACATGAACTCCCACACAAACAAGAAAGTTAATTAAATGCTTAAAAGATCGGGCGGCGGTGGCGGCGACTGTGGTGGCGATTGACGATCATCTCTCACTTCTTTTGCGGGAGACTCAATTGGAGTCGCTAAGGATTCTTCCTGTTTCACATTGCATGGCTTCGGAAACTCGGTCAGGATTTGGACCACCTCCCGCATGGTCGGGCGCTCGACAGCCTGTTCCTCGACGCAGAGCATGGCGACATAAAACAAGTGCATGGCCTCATGAAGTGGGACGGTGCTCAGCCTGGGGTCGAGGATCAACTGGACTTCTTCCTTGTTTGAGTTGGTCATTTTCCGGACCCATTGGACTATGTCGACCCCGTCGCCGAATTCCCCAACTGGTTTTCTTCCGGTGACTAGTTCGAGCAGGACCACGCCGAAGCTATACACATCGCTCTTCTCATCCACCTTCAAAGTGTATGCATATTCTGCAGAAGGGGAAGCAAGCAACAGCAACATTGAATCAAAGACTCCACCAAATCCAAATTCCAAAGTACTTGCAATTGGTTTTTCTTTAATATGGGAGCAAAATCGTCAAATTACAAGCAAACCAATTTGGTTAATGTGAAGAGATCATCTCTTTTGGAGCTTTCAGGTGCAGCCAAATATCAATGCATGGGTTCATATCTTTCATATAGTGACAAATGTCGGATATTTTGTCATTATGGTAGGTTACGAATAAAATCATGAGATTAATTGAACTCTCAGACCTGCCAACGACTTCTCTTCAAATGCCAAACTCGAGAAATGAATTGAAGTACAGAGGCTCGCATTTATATGGCGGATCAGAATTTATGACATTGTATACTTTGTCTTAAAAGTCAAAGCGGAAGTGACTTCAAGAAACTCTGGACATAAATACGACCCATCTTCATGATTGCAATGAAGTCTACTCAAAACTCAAAAGAATCCACCAATTCTGGAAATTTATTCACCAATGCGCAGGGAAAAAAATTGTCATTTAAGTATAGTGCTATTATCATCATTAAAAAATATAACCTCCAACTTATCAATTACTAAAAGACAAAAAAGATCCTATGATCATCCAAATGAGAATTCTCATGATCAAAACATGCTTTCACAAGACGTGATTGATTTCTGCAAGTATTGAATTTGAACCGTACCTGGTGCAATGTATCCATAAGACCCAGCAATGGCCGACATACACTCGGATGTGCCCGAATCTTGAAGGAACTTGGCAAGGCCAAAGTCAGCGACGTGGGCTTCAAAATCAGAGTCAAGCAGGATGTTGTTGGACTTCACATCCCTGTGAACAATCAGAGGTGAACAGTCGTGGTGAAGATAGCAGAGCCCTTTTGCAGCTTCCAGGGCAATCTTGTACCTCAAGCTCCAGATCAAGTGGCCTCCTTTCTTGCCATGAAGAACCTCACCCAAACTCCCATTAGGCATGTACTCATAGACCAGAAGATTGGTTTCGTGGTTTGAGCAAAAACCCAGAAGCCTTACAATGTGCCTGTGCCTGATTTTTCCCAGAGTTTGTATTTCGGCGTTGAATCCGTGATCATGAGAAGACCCTCTTCCCATCGCAGGAAGCCTTTTCACGGCGACTTGATTGCCGTTCGGCATCGTGCCTTTGTACACGATTCCCGCGCCGCCTTTCCCGATAATGTTGTCCTCCTTCAAGCTATCCAAGACATCTTCGCAAGAGAAGTCCAGTCTCTGGAAGGCGCTGAACTTCCATGCCCTGGCATCACTGGCTTTCTTCAGCGATCTGGCCTTGATTATTGCCACGATCGCGAAGATGATGGAGCACACGAGCAACCCGATGACGAGGAGGAGCTTCACTGAGGCAGAAAGTGGCCCTTTGACATGTGTTTGATGGGTTCCATTTGTGTCCCCATCTTTGCAAGGGCCTAGATATGGTCCGCACAGTTCAGGGTTACCAAGAAACGAAGTATAGTTGAAGTAACTGAACTGGCCGGTACCCGGAACTAGACCAGACAGATTGTTGTATGAGAAATCAACAGAAGTTAAGCTCTGCATGGTGGAAATAGACGAGGGAATGCTACCGGATAGGTGATTACTCGACAAATTTAAGTAGTTCAGTATCCTCATATCGGTGATTTCGTTGGGGATTTCACCGGAGAGCACATTCCCACTGAGGTCAACAAAGGTTAACAACTTGCATTGGCTGATTTGGGGCGGGATTGGACCGGAGAACCCGTTGCTGCTCAAATCAATCTTGGAAAGCTGCTGCAAACGCCCTATTTCAGGTGGGATTTGTCCCGAGAAGTTATTGCCATCAAGGAGGAGCTTTTGGACTCCAGAGAAGTTGCCAATAGTCGGTGGCAAAGACCCACCAAGCTTGTTGTTCGAGAGACTAATCTGACCAAGACTCACAGCTATCGAATCATCGCTCCCAGGAAACTCTCCAACAAGGAGATTATCCTGAAACTCAACTTGGGACAGCTCCGGCAACCCGAATAGCCCTCTCGGGATCGATCCGTTGAGGTAGTTATCTCCCATTCGGATCCTCCTCAAGGACTGGCATTTCCCAAGAGACTCAGGAATGGGGCCGAACAGGAAGTTGCTAAGAGCAATCAAAGTCTGAAGCTGGTTACCATAACACAAATCAGGAGGGAGATTACCCGTCAATTTATTCGACGAGAGATCAACGATCTGGAGATTCCCATTCTTGCCCAAATCCTGAGGAACACTCCCTGTGAAATTGTTCTCCCATAGCTGCAAAACCTGCAACCCGGGCAAATCAGCAATGAACTCAGGAATCTCACCATTAAGCTTGTTCCTGAAGAGATGCAAAAGGGTCAGGTTCTTCAGCTGAGAGAAGGACTCGGGAATCTCTCCAGAGAACATGTTGTTAGACAAATCCAGAGACTTGAGGCTCTTCAAGTAGCCCAGCTCACGAGTCAGAGACCCTGCAAACCCATTCACTTGAAGAAACAGAGTGTCGAGGTTCTGCAGCTTGACAATCTCCGGCGGTATTTCGCCGGACAATCCACAGTTAGCCGCATCCAGCCTGACGAGCTGAGTCAGATTACCAATCTCCGGGGGCAAGCTTCCGTCGTAGCTGTTGTAGTAACCGAGATAGAGTTCTCGCAGCCTCGTCAGGTACCCGATCTCCGGCGGGATGGCGCCGACGAGCTCGTTGCCGGAGACGGCCAGGTACTCGAGGAACTCCCACCGGCCATACTCGGGGGGTATCTTCCCGGCGAAGTAGTTGCCTCCGAGGTGCAAATGACGGAGCTGCGGCATCTCGGCGACGGCGACGGGGAGGTCCCCGGTCATGTTGTTGTTGTAGAGGTCGAGGACCCGGAGGTTCTTGAGGAGGCCGAGCTGGGGCGGGAACGTGCCGTTGAAGACGTTGTTGGAGAGGTTGAGGTAGCGCAGCCCGGCGAGCGCGGAGATCTGCGGCGGGACGGGCCCCGAGAGCTGGTTGGCGGCGACGGAGAGGGAGGCGAGGAAGCGGAGGTGGGCGAGGCCCGGGGAGAGGGCGCCGGAGAGGTTGAGGGACGAGAGGTCGAGTGCCGTCACGTGGCGGCGGCGGGCGTCGCACGTCACGCCCCGCCACGAGCAGTGGCTGCCGTTGGCGGCCGTGGCGGAGGCGGAGGCGGTGGTCCAGGACGAGAGGGCGGACTGGGGGTCGTCGGTGACGGCGGCCCTGACGGAGAGGAGGGCCTGAACCTCCGTCGGGCGGGCGGCGGCGGCGGCGGCGGGGCCGCGGCGGAGGTGGAGGAGGAAGAGGAGGAGGAGGGGCAGCAGGAAGAGGCGCATTGCTAAGGAGTGGTGGAAGAGCGGGGGATTTTTTGAGTTCGAAGAGGAGGATGAAGAGAGAGTGAGAGAGTGTGATGTTGGAGGAGAGTGAGGGAGGGGGGGGGGGACTGGTTATATTGTCGTTTTCTTTGCTCTGTTTTTTTTTTTTAATAGATTTTTTTTAGATTTTGGTTTTTGTGTTTTTTGTTTTTTATGTTGTCTTGTTTTTTCTCATTTTCGTGGGCATTGTCGTTTTCTCTTGTTGGTATTTCCCCACTCGCGCTGCTGTGAAAAGGACGAGGAACAACACTCGCGACATCGAGAGCATCATGAGTGAGTTGAGCGAGGGATTCACGCAAGGCCAAAATAGACTCGTTTCGTTTTTTATTTGTGGATATCACCGCGAGAAATTTGTGCCGCGTGTGTAACATTGTGTAATATTCGGGTCGGGATAGAAGAGCGCTCAAATCTAGATCTAGATTTAGATTGGGAGAGAAGAGCTCGTGCTTCGATCTTCGGAACTCACATGACAAAACTCTCCACTTCTGTGGAGGATGTCGACCGCATCGTCCACAAAATCGACGAAGAAGTTTTGAATATGAAGAAATAAAGAGTCGGAGAGGGGGAGGGAGGGAGACCTCCCTCAGGATGTGGCTTCGCTGGGCGGCAGCTTCTGAAAGAGATGAAATCCTAGGGAGAGGGAGAAGAGAAAGAGAGTAATCAACAGAAGCTTATGATTCGAGTTTATGTCTCAAGTAAGGACCCAAATTACTCAAAAGTAGAAGCCGTTCATGGCGGGTCATAACGTTTATTTGGGCCGGTGGAATCGAGCTAAATAATGTTGTCCCCTAATTCTTAGTGTTATCTTGTTAGGGATGAGCGTTTTGAAGAAGATTGAATCGGATTAGCAATTCAATAGCCCAAGTCAGGCGCCGGCTTTTTTTGTAATGTCTGCCGTTCATTTTCTTGATGCAGATTTCACAAATTTAGTTCGATCCCGACCACCTATGATTTTATAAGTGCCGTTCGATCGCGATTTCGGTGCGCTCACAATTTTTTTTATGCAACCCTTTTGGTAGAATTCTTTGTGGGGTCCTTCTAACTAAATAGATTAGATTGAGTCCCACCCACCCATCTCCCATTATCTAATCGAGTTGGATCGGGACTGAGCATGATTACATGAAAAGTTGCATGATTGAGGGTTTTGGACACTTATTGTTCCACTATTTCAAAAGAGAGAAGCCTTTGGTTCAAAGATTCTTTCAATTTTTTTTTTTTTTTGTATATTTTTCATTATTATTATTTTCTCCCAAATGTAGGGTAAAAAGACAGACAAGGACACCTCCGTTCCCTGTCTTCCATGAAGCTTCACCTGTCTTCTAAGTACCTCCGTGAGTGCGCCAAATAATGAAATTGATAATGGGCCCTCTCCTATAATAATATTGCTTAGCATCCATGTGACACGAAGACCAGTCCCAATGCGCATATAGTTTATTCGTCTCGGTTCTCGTGCCATTCCTCAAATGTACTCCTATTACGGGTCTTGTTAACGAGTATCTCAAAACACCGATCGGGCATACTAAACACAAGAACGATCGCTACATGGAAAAACTGCAAAACTTTCTTAATCGGTCGCTTAATTTGCATTTCTATGATTTGAGCCGCTAACGAGATGTTCCCTTCTTGTAAAGCGATTATCATATAGCAAGTTCTTTTGCGAAAAAGTATTATTGATATCATGATGGGATTGTAAATCAGTAACCAAAGCTCGATCTAGTGCGTGTGCACAGTTCATGCAATATAGATCATGCAATTTTTCAATCATAGAGACTATATAAAGCAAAGGGACAGTAATTGATTACAGTGGGGAAGCTTAATGCTGATTATTCAATAATCCTTCGTCCATTGTCGTTTTGCACCTTTGATCTTTCTTTTGTTTCCCTCATTAGTTGAAGATGAGACTGGTACTTTTCCTTCAATGGACCCTTTGCAGATGATTAGAGTCCAAAATTTTACAGTTGGAAAGTTAACAAACCTTGTCATGTAGCCAAAAAGGAGATGAGACTTCACCCATCACGTAGTGGGACTTAGATGCGCTGGTCAAATGAGTGAATAGGTGTTTTCAGCAAATATGATTAGATAGAAAATGTCCGGGGTCATTTTATCTTTTTAATTATGGATGGATTTGTTGAGGTGCACGTTGAGAGGTGTTGGGTAAGGTCCCGTGATCCGAGATTGGTGTGTATGGAGCGGTTCGTATATACTGATTGAGTCACAATACATAGTGTTTACACACAAAAATAATAATAATAATAATGACCAACTCATTATGGTCCACGTGTGATGAGGCCTGATCGACCAAAGGATATTAATTGCTAAAAGTATTATTAAGCAGCACGTCGTTGAGAGAGATTCATTGATAATTCCTGTCATTGATATCGACAAGGGAGAGTCATCGACGGCTCTTCGATATCGACATCTACAGCAATAAAAATGTTTAATAAGGCTCATCGTATAAAAGGTTAGCCATCTTAAAATTTGGCTAAGGGTTAAGAACAAGAGAAGGACATCAGGATCAGGACATTGATTGAAAGCATGGATACCAAGTAACGGTTGAGTACTCCGGTGGCCTTGGAAGTTGTGACCATTTACGAATGAGATCGGCATGCGAACAAGAGGCATGGAATCTTAGGAATGCGATTGTAACTGTATTTAGAGTAGCACATGCTCATGAATAGTTGTAATTAGTAAGCTATATAAGTGGATGCGTGTAATCATGGAAGACACTCCCAATAAAAAAATACATAATCCCAATATACTTTTTAGTACTTTTCTTTTGTGTTTCTTGATCATCTATATTGTAAAGCCAGGAGTGAACTCCTATTCAAAATCGTCATTGATCCCATTTCATAAAAAACGAAAACTCAATTTTTAGGTGAAAGATTTTTCACTATTTGGGTCGACACCCATTTTTGGTTAAACACATTGGTGTTAAACTTTGGAGTAAATGCAAGTCTATAAGTAGTTTATGTAATCTTGCTCGAAATTCAAAATCATCCATTTACTTTTCTTGGTTCAAAATGATCCACCCATTTTTAGAAATTTGGAAAATACTAACCTACACTCCTACTGAGAACTTAAACTTTGCATTTGTCGGCCTTGGGGTCATCCTTGCCCTTGTAGCCTTTGCGGCCATGATGGTGGTTGCTCGCCCATGGTAGTGGTGATCACACAACACCAAGGCAGCGGCAGCGCCTTGCTCTTTCTCTCTCTAACGCCATGGATTAACTCATCGAAGTATTGTCCGCTTTGACCCGTTCCATTCCGAGCCTCACGGTTTTGTCATTTGGCGTAAAAATGGACACTTTTTCATGAGGTCATCTATTTTAGGAGTGCTCCCATTTGAGCATGCTTAACTTAACAACTCCAAAGTTAAGCATTGCCGTTATGTCAAAAAGCGCATCCGTGAGTTAATTCTAATTTTCACATATATATATATATATATATATATATATATATATATATATATATATATATATTGGAATCGCTCTCCTCCTATTCGGTGTATAATTCGGTACATTCCTATCCCCTTCACCATCCTAGAAACCGCTCTTTGTTTAGTTCTTTTGGTCCTGGTGATCACTCCCCGCTCTCTTTTGACCGGGTCGTTCCACTCTCACTTGAAACAATGGCTGCCACTCTAGGTGGTTGTGTCAATTGTGAAGCTGCCACTCTAGGTGGTTGGGTCCATTGTGAAGGTCATCATCGCGTGACAAATGTTGTTGCTTCGCTAATTATCACTATATTCATTTTAATTTTTTTTAAATTACTGATGTAGCACCACGTGTGCCGATAAGATTGCGAGATGTGCACTTAATCCGTCCAAGCTCATGTTTCGGCATCCATCTTTGGATCGCACGGTATTTTAACAAAGGGCTAACAATGAATTTTTAAAAAAATACCGAGACTATTTTGAAACAAGGAGCACATGAACAATATTGAATTTTTAATAAAAGTAGAAGGGCATTATATCGCATGTTAATGAGCTTCTAATTGGACTGTGATACCTCTAAGTTGAGGTGTTGAGTTTCTGCCGGACGTTTCGAGAACATTAGTAGACAACCCTAACTCATTCAGCTCAAATCCGACAGCTTCTTTTATGTTTCTTTTCGTCCATCAATAGTTAAAGATTAGACCGATACTTACCTTACGAATATGTTTAGAGAGTCCAATATCACAGTTGGAAATTAAGTTAACAAACCTTGTCATCTAGCCAAAAAACGAGATGGACACATTTTCCCCCATCACGGGGTGAGATTAGTAAGTGCTGTTCCAATAAATAAATAGGTGTTCACCAAATATCATTAAACAAAAAAAAAACATCTAGGTTATTTTTCCTATTCATTATAAACAACTCTAGCCTAACTCTAAATATTCTCACCTGAAAATAAAATAAAAAACATTCGTGTTAAATACCTTGATATGCCGTATTTTGACAAATACATAAAAGATTGTTAATGATTGATAATATTGGACTACAAAATTTAGGATATCGGTGAGACAAGCTCGTAGAACATAGAAAACACGCGACACCTTCACTCACTCTCTCTTTCCTTTCTCTCAAGTATGATAAACTATTCGATAAACCTATTACATGTACTAATAATGAATACGGATGAGACTCGCATGAAGCCCGCGTGAGGCCAATTGCTATTAATGGTCCAAATTCGATTTTACTAGATTAATTGAATAATTTCGTTTGATACTCGATCACCTGTACGTCCATGAAACACCTTAAAAATCCCCCGTGGATCAGTTGAGCTCGGGCGTTTGTCTTGTGTAGATAACCCTAATTCAGAACGGTTTCTAATGCGCGCGGTTGAAGGGTCTTGAAGGCCCTGTTTTTCTCTTTTTGAAAACCAGTCTCTTCGATCAAGGGATCAATCTTGAGGACCAAATCGCATCCCTAAGCCCAATGCTCTCCGGTATTCCACAAAACCCGACGTCAGGTTTATTCAAAGCACTGTTCCGTGCATGGGATTGTGTTCGTTTGTCCCCTTCCTCTTTGGGATTCCATTCTTATCCTCGCTTGGATCGAG